CGAGTTTCCAGAGGCATGAGGTTTAGGAATTGGATGCCACTCCTGCTTCCCAACCTGGTTTACAACTGAGAGCTCCACCAAACACTGTCCACCATGGGAAGCCATTATGGGATTTGATACCCCCATGGCACAAGGTTCAGCATCACAGCAAACCCAGGTTACCTCAGTGACAAAGAGTGATGGTCAAAGTGGAAGAATGTTCCTCCAGATAAAACAGCACTAGTCTCATTTAGCAGTGGTTAAGTGTTGTTGAGGCGAATATGACTCAGAGTAAGCTTTGCACAAAAGACCTGAGTTCTGTTCTATAATTAACATAACTTATGTACATTTATAAGAGAGATTGTAAAGTTTCCAGAGGCATCTAGCTTAGGAACTGGATGCTACTCCTGCTTCCCAACATGAATCAATCTGGAAGCTCATCCAACTACTGTACCATTATGGTATTTTAACACGACTATGGAATCGAGTTCAGCATCCCAGCAACTCCAAGTCACTCAGTACAACAAATAGACAAATGACTGCTGTGTCTTTTAAAGAATATTCTTCTAAAATTAATAAGCCAGCCAGCCAGTCCCTTCTTATTGCTGGGCCACCTTAATCTAAGTTAGCCAGTCAGAGCCACAAGGGTGATATATGAATGGTTTATATGACCCAGTTTGGGCTAATGAAATTGAAGCCTGCAAATTGTGGTGGAATCTGGAAGAAAAAAAGGTTCCATTTATCAGCTGGGATTGTGGAGCCAAACTGTCACATGGGGAAATACTCCTGAGTGATGCAGAAAGACAAGCCCTTCTGAGAAGCCGGCTTGAGTGCCTAGATCCTGCCAGACCTGAATCCCTTGGGCTTGAGAGCAGCCTTGTTAACTGCTGGGGCAAGTTTAACCTCCTTCCTGCTACTTTGGGTCTCACTTAGGGTTGTGAGACTTAATAAATAAGAATACCCATTCCTGAAAGGCTACATACAGTAAAGGTTTGATAAGACATGTAATTAATTATTCAATCAGTTGTAATTAATGTTATAAAGCAAAATGTGTATGAATGACTGAATGAAAACCAATGGGATTTGTAAACTTTCACTCAAATAAAAGCATTAAAAAAACCAAAGAGATAAAAAACCAGATGAACCCCCTCTCTATAGTGAGCTGAAGGGAAGAGAAAATCCCAGAAGAGTACTGAAGGGAGCACATGAGAACCTGGGGCTCCCGGACTTTCTCAGGCCAGTTTCCCTGGATGCTTCCCCTGGGAGGAGGTTGGCAGGTGAGAAGGTGGATGAGGCAGGGGTCTGACTCCTATTTTCTGTTTGGGTCTCCTGGCATCGTCCTTTCTCTGCCTCCTTCTCCCCTTTGCACCTGCTGTGCCCCACTCACCTCTCAAATAAACCACTTCTTTGTCTCAAGAGTCTGCTTCTGGGAGAAGCAGTAAGAATAGCATGAATAACACTGAGATGGGAGAGAACATGGTAGGTCTGAGAACCCATGTCTTCTTATGTGCCAGTGAAAACCACACCTTTCCTGTTGAGTTGATTCTGACACACAACGACCACAGAGGACAAAGAACTGCATTCTGAGGCTGTAATCTGGATGCTTGGCTGCTAACTGAAAGGTTGGAGGTTTGAACCCGCCAGCCACTCTGCAGGAGAGAAAATGTGACAATGTACCCCCCAAATATCACAGCCTTGGAAATCCCACGGGGCAGTTCTGCTGTGTCCGCTGTGTGACTGTGAGTTAGCATCTGCCTGACAGCTGTGGGTTTCATCTCTGGTGAAGCAGGCTGCCATATTTCTCGCCCAGTTCAAACCACCAACTTCTCAGTTAGCATGAGAGCACTTAAACACTGTACAACCAACGTTCCTCACGTGTACACAGCACTTAGGCATTGTGCCACCAGGGCTCCTCCTGATTTCCTATGTCCTTTAAGTTCTGAACTTCTGTGGTTTCGTGACGATTCTCAGATGACTGTTGAAATTGAAACAAAGGGTGCAAAGGGGGCCAAGGAGGTGACCTCCAGAGGTCAATCAGGCTGGGCCAGGGCCCTGATGGCATGAAGAGCTGTCGCCCCCTCAACTGTGAGCCCTCGCTCTCCAGTTCCTGCTGATTGCTGCCACCTGTGAAGGCAGAGTTGCCAAATGTCCTAATTTTCAAGAAGGGCTGGAAATCTTGATTGTTTTGGTCTGAGCCATCTCCTGATTTTTAAATGCTGGCGGCAACTTCACATTTTTTCAAACGCTGCAGAGCCAAATGAGAATGTCAGTAGGCTGAATCTGGCCTGAGACCACTGATCAGGAATGTCTGTTTTGATACTATTTGCCGTCCTTCCTTTAGAAAAGTCTTACTTCACATTCACCAAGCAGGAGGCACACTGTTTTAGGCATTGGGAATGAAAGAATGAACACAAACCAGAATTAAAATAAAAGAGAAAAATCCCTGTCCTCACACCAATTAGATTACAGAGGACTGTCCTGACTCGGGTTTAGGAATTATCTTTCCTGAGCACCTCTGTCCCATGATCAGTGCTAGGGTGAAGAGATAAACATGTTGCAACTCAAAGACACATGGTTTGAATTTACCAGCAGCTCTATGGGAGAAGGATGAGAAATGTCCTCTTCTGTGATCTACAGCCTCTGAAAATCCAGTGGACGGTCAGCTGTGGGTCGGTTCAGACTTGAAAGCAATCACACACACACACACACACACACACACACACACACAGAGAAAGAGAGGCAGAGGCAGACCAGCCCCATGCGGCTAACTAGTTTTCAAGGCTATTCAGTTTTTGGAAGCAGATCAAGTCTTTTTCTCCTGTGGAGCTACCGGTTGGATCTGAACTGTCAACCTTTTGATTACTAGTGGAACACCTGCCCGCCACACCATCAGGGCTCCTTCTTCTTCTGAGGGAGCTCACAATTTGGATTAGGCTCTGGTGGCGGTGAGCCACCAACACAAAAGTCATAAAAACAACTGCCTGGGAAGTTTCATTCTACATGGCTCCATAGTTGAGACCTCTGGAAGCAATATCCAAGAAACCAAAAGATGCACTGCATCGGACAAAGCTTCTGCCAAGGAGCTCTTGAAAATGTTTAAGAGCAAACATGTCACTTTGAAGATGAAGGTGCCGCCAGTCTAACCATGGTGCTTTCAACCAGCTCATCTTCATGGAAAACCGAGCAATGAATAAGGAAGACAGAAGAGGAAATGAGACCTTTGGACTATGACACTGACAAAGAATATCAAACATACAATTGACTGTAAAGGAACAAACCAACCCGTTTTAGAAGGGTGGCCAGGATATTCCTTAGAAGGTAAGACGGTGAGACTCAGTCTTACATAACTGGGCATGTGGGGGGTGGGGGGCAGTCCCGGGGAAGGCCAGCACACTTAGGAAGGTAGAGGGTCGGCAGCAAAAACAACGGCCTTCCATGAGAAGGACAGACGTGGCCCCAACAGGGGGCTCAAGCCGAGACTGTGAGGACGGGCCAGACTGTGCACGGTTTCGTCCTGCTGTCTCTAAGGCCAGTATGAGGGTGCACTGGTGGCCTAGTGGCAAGAGTCTGTGCTGCAATCCTGATGGCACACAGTTTGAATCCACCTGCTGGGCAATCTCCTCCTATGGGACAAACTGCCTCTGAAAACTCGCTGGAGGATCAGTTATGGGTTGGTTCCGACTCGATGGTACACTAGTTAGAACTCACTAGATGGCACTCACCACCACCACCACCACAGTCCATAAGAAGTGAGGTGCTGGGTGGAGAGGCAGAACTTTGGAGTGGGGTTTGTGTTTCTTAGGGGAAGTGACTTTACTGGGGTAATCAGGAGAACCTACAAAACACCCCAGCCGAGTGAGCACCTCACTACTGCCGTCTCTTTGAGAATACCCAAGCTGCCAAGCCGGCTCTGGGGTGTCTGCAGCAGCCCCCCTTAAACTGTGCACACCCCAAAACCTCATGGCGGATTTCCCCGCAGGCACTGCTAGACAGATTAACAGCATTCCTACGTGGCGAGAGATTTCTGCACCACCAACACCATTTTTATATTCTTTATAGCATAATAGCAGACAATAAATCTATCTTGCTAATTACACACCCAGCCTGTTATAGCTCTTTTTTTTTTAAAGACACCACAAAAAACCCACGAACAGCTGGAAAAGCTATGAGGTGATGTCAAATCATACGCCTAGTCTCTAAACAGCATCTGAAAGCGTTTCCAGTCGCTGATGAGTCTCCAGGCTCCTACCACGTGTTGAGGCAGCTCTTAATAGGTCAGCCACCTTGCTCCTTGATGGGATGACAATAGACTTGTCCCCAGGGCATCACCCCTCCGCCCGCAGAGGTCTTCCCTAAAGAGATGACAGATGTCCAGGGTATCCCACAGGGTCTGCTGAGAGGTCACAAGATGAACACCAAGAACTGGTAGCTTTAGGGCCCTTAAAGGTTGGGCTCATTCTCATAAGGTTATAGTAGTTTGAATATTTCTTCCATTCACCACCCATCAGCTGAGAGCATCTCCCAGAATCCTAACTGCATGGCTTCCCGACTTAATTTGTGGATGTTATGTTTGCAAAGCTGTTGTTAAGATCAACGGTGGAGCTGGCAACACCCTCTCTCATCCCGGAAAAAAAAAAGAGAGGAAAATGAAATTCAGCTGTCGGTCACACTGAGATAAACCACAGGGACTTGAGGAAAATCCTTCGCTTCGCTTTGAAGCTAGGGTGACTGTGCGAGCAGGGAACTAGCTGACAACTACGAGCTTGTGTCCATTAAGTAGAGGGTGAACGCTTTACTTCATGTGTTGGAAGAAGAGGCAGTCGAGATAACAGGCAGAGAGAGAATGAAGTTTTCACACGTCAAAAAAAAAAATTCCTTAGGCATCTTCCATCCCAGGCCGGCCCCAGGGGAAGTGTGGGCTGCACAAGCGGCTTCCTCAGCTGCCCCCTCATTTCTCAGGACAAACTGGCTAGACAGACGGGCCACGTTGAGGAGAAAGAAAAGACAAAAGAGATTCTTACCTTCCCGTATCTGGATGCAAAGGTCCCCGTGAGCAAGGAGTGAAAAATAATTATCGTTTCGTCCAAGTCCCACACGAACACACGCTGTGACGAAAGAGAGGGGGAGAATGGGTTGAAGTGGCCTCGCCTGCATCTGTCTGAATGTGTCAGAAGCGAACTCCCTCGGAGGATAAGGAGGCCTTGGCAAACCCTCCCGTTACATTATCAGACAGGCAACTCCCTGACACAGTGAGTCCCCACCCAACCTCCTCTGTGAAGAGTATCTCTCAATGGCCAGTCTTCTGGCTCCCGCCAACCCATGGGCCACCAGAACCAGGGAGTGCGGGTTCTTGTCTTCTATACAAAAGCTCTGAAATAGGGGAGCTCTGGTGGCCTAGTGGTAAGGAGCTGCAACTACAATCCCAGAGGCGCACGGTTCGAATCCACCAGATGCTCTGCCGGGGAAGGAGGGACAATCTCCTCCTGTACCAGTCAGATCGGATTTGACGGTACACTCACACAAAAACAATAAAATAAAATAAAAAATTTAAAAAAAGCTCTGAAATGGAGAACGTGGGTGCCAAAATACCCCAAATCACAGAATTCATTGGACAAAAGGAAATCCTACCATTTCACACTCAGCCCTCACGCCATCTGTGTGAAGCAATCCGAAGAATTATGTACATTGTACAATTTACACTTTAACAAGCATGTACTTTCCCTTCTTGGCCTGCCAACTTTAGTCGAAAGCACCTTTACTGCTTGGCTAGTCAGCTCTAGACAGTATCTTTTAATTGGATACTCCGAAAGATTAGCATTTCACCTCATGGGAGCTGCCTTCCAGGCTACTGCTCACTACGTGAACTGTTTTTTAAGTTCCTCACCCTTGGGCCTTATCTCTTGGCTAAAAGAGTCCACTTTGGTTTTATTCTGTATCACCAACATGGGTGAGTTTGAGTTTGTACATTTGCTTTTGCAACTGTAATCAGATCTTTCATGCTGGATCTGTATGTGCTTATCAGTGAAGAGCATGTACACATTGTGACTCTTGTCCACTGTGATAAGTAACGGGCTAGGATCCCACTTTCTTTTCTACATGTCCACGGTTATAACCCCAGAAGCACTTTAAGGAGAACGCTCTCGTCATCATGGTCGCACGTACTTCCTTTCTTTCCCTCATTCAGTTGCTCCAAACAATGCCATCTATGAATCATGACTTCCTGGTAGAATTTGTCATTTTGTTGGAGATGATCTTTTCTGAAAGTGTCCCTGTGGTGCTGTAGGCTGCTGACTTAAAGGCAGCAATTCAAACCAACCAGCTAGTCCTCACTCCCAGGAAAACGATAAGGAGTCGGCTTCCATAAAAATGGACAGGTAACTGCAATCCCAGAGGTATGCGGTTCGAATCCACCAGATGCTCTGCTGCAGAAGGAGGGGCAAACTCCTCCTGTACCAGTCAGATCTGATTTGATGGTACACACACACACACGCACACACGCACGCGACAGGTAACCCTATGGAGCAGTTTTGGCCTGGTTGTAAGAAGCTGTGCTGCAATCAATCGTGAAGGCACATGGTTCGAGGTCACCAGCTGCTCTGTGGGAGAAGGATGGGCAGTCTCCTCCCATGGGATTAACTGTCTCTGAAAACCCACTGGAGGGTCAAGTATGGATTGGTTCCGACTCTATCACACACAACAACAACTTATATAGGGTTAGGGTCTCTGGTAGCCTAGTGGTAAGAAGCTGCACTGCAATCCCGAAGGCATGTGGCCTGAATCAACCGGCTGCTCCACAGGAGAAAGATGAAATATTTCCTCTCGTGCAATTAGCTTGTCTTTCAGTTGTGAGTTGGGTTCTGACTTGATGGCACACAACAAACAAAAACATATACAGGGTGATTATGCTGTTGTTGCTGTATTTCTTCTCAGGCTCTTTGTTCATTCTCTTTGCAGCCCCTGGTATACTCAGTATCCGTCTTCAACACCCACAGTTAGAACATATCCACTCTTCCCTGTCCCCTTCTGATTTCCTTTTCCATGATCCAACTTTCACATGTGTATGTGGTTATTAAAAAAACCACCATGGTTATGGTAAGATCCTCCACAGCCATCAAAGCTTTGCTTCCGAAACTTTCAGAGGTCTTCTGCTGCAGGTGTGACCACTTCTACACATCAGTGGATTTACTGAAGTCTCCTTGACACTCATTGTGTCCACAATCTTGCTAATCCAAAATTCTCTTGGCTCAATGATCGTGGATTTTTTTCTTGTTTATTTAGTTATATTACTGTTTAACATGTGTTAAATGCATTTTTTATTACGGTTCAGGGTAGGAAAAGTTTGGAAACCACTGCTTTCGAATGAGAAGCTTCTAAGCTTCAACTATTCCAAAGCCTAACATATCTGAATTAACTGGGCTAGATCAGTTAAACTCAAGAGTATGTCATTTTAATGCTAACTTTTAGTTCAGATTCCATTTATTTATCTATTATTCCCCCTCAGAAGATGAATGTCTGCCCCTATCCCTTATCACTCTACCCACTACCCTAGTCCTTAGTCTTCAGGTAAACCCAGGTTCCTAACCCCCATCACTGGGACGTGGGTCTATAACCCTAGTTGACTCACAGGCTATTTCCCAGAGAACTTAGAACCAGAAGCCTACAAGGAAATTCATTGTCTTTGGATTTGGTCAAAAGTTTGAGAAAACCCAATCCAGACAGAGAATGAAGGGGTGAGGAATAGAGAGAGAAGTCAACACGTTTCCAGGTCCCAGTTTCAAGTGGGAGGAAGATGAGAGAGGGGCCCTGAGGGGGAGAGTTGGTCCTAGTCGCTGGGCATGTGGGCACCAGGGCCACAGGCACTAGGGTTTGGCCATTCTAGTGACCTCACTGTAGCATGGAGGGAGCGAAGACACAAACACATTCCCTTGTCCCTCCCTCCTCGCTGGTCCCAGGACCTTTCCAGGGTCCTGCTATCCTACTGCCCTCGGGTTCTAAGAGACGCCTATATCCTTTAAATCAGTTCTGCTATTTCACTTAAGTCAGCTCAAGTTCGTTTCTGGCACTTGTAACAGAAGGATTTTAACTAATACACGCTCGGAATTCCTCTCCTTTCCATTTGCCTACATAATTTTTCTCTCCTGAGCTTCGGTCATTAGCAAAACTGCCAAAGACTTAAGAGGTGCGACCCAGGCAAGCCCTTTATGCTGACATTAAACACAGAAGTGAAACACGGCTCACACCTTTTCAACGGTTCTTGCCCAGCGGTACTTACTCTGGAATTGAGAAGCAGATGTTTCCAGAATAATATTATCCCATAATCCCCAACTTCCACGCCACTACCCCCCTTCCATTCACAGTTTAATGGGAAAATGAGTAGAAACTGTGCTAGGTGACTTTAATTCTTTCTGAAACATTAATGGATGTGGTACTTTCTGGGTTTTCCATAGCACATTGACTTCAAGCTGGCAGGAAAGCCCCAGGAACACATCAGAGCAAAAAAGCAAACACAACTCGAAGCCAATTCATTTTCGACCAGCCTTTCGCAAAGGCCTAAATCCACTGACGGAATTACTGAAGCCCTCCTTGATGAGGGGGAGCGGAGGCTTTAAGAATTAGGGGAAATGGAAAAAGAGAGCTCCCTCGATTGAAAATGGTCCCATGAACAGTGACAACATATGACTTGACGGGCACCAGGTTTCTAGGTGGGTCAAGATCTCAGCAGCTTGACGTTATATCTCAGAAGGGGACAATATGTAACAGACAAGTATGAATTCCCAAATATTTCATATCTACACGGACAATCAGAGCCAATCAATTATGGCTATCAGCTATAAACAGTTGGTCTGCCGTACTGGTTGGATCAATACCCAACTGGTAAATATCCAATGCCGTGGTAGTAAGCCTTTGCTGTTTGAGTCTCCCAGTATCCATACCCAGATCTGCTAAGAGTCCTCTGGGGTTCTGGGGTTCCCTCCCTCCCACTGTATGCTGTCTTAGTCAATCAGAGGCAGCACAAGACTCAAACCATGACAATGAGATGCTCTCTCCTTGGCATTAGAATTGAAAATGGTTCATGCTGGCACCCTGAAGGTTCCCAGCTTCCTCAGCACTGCTACTGTCCCTGTGTGATAATGTATTATTCAGCGTGACTTTTTCTAGTCACTGACTTTGTAACTCTCACCACGTGGCTGGACAGAATGATGCCAATGTCAGGTGTACGTGGCCCTCCGTGGGAACTGGACAGATTGCTAATAATGTAGATAAGGAAAATGTTACCTTTTTGGTGGGATCATGAAAATAAAGTTTGCAGAATGTTAACATGAAGCCTGGCCAGTTTTGCCATCCTGCCAGGTTTAAATAGAGCTGGCCCAGAGGTGAAAACAGGGACTTTGCGACCATTAAGAAAAACGAACTAGAGAAGGTAGCATGTCTTCTGGACCTGAGGTCTCTGTGTGAACCAGAGCAGGAAGTTTGTGGCCTGGAGAGACAGTGAAAATAGAGATGGCAGCAGAGGACCAGAGACTGATGTGGGACAGAGCTGCGGGCTCTTGGTCACGGGTGGAGAAAGCTGAGTACTACGTGCCTTTGGGCATCTGCTGGAGGAGCTACCTCTGCTGATCTCTGGAGCTAAAGGTGAGTATCTCTGGGCATAGGCTTCCTGGCAGAGTGGGGGATGGCACATGGTTGACAGTTAAGAGAGCTTTGTAACACTTTTTGACATAGGACATACACTAAGGCTGAGAGAGCAGAGAGAGAGAGAGAGACACGGGGTGGGTGGCTGGGGAGCCCTGGCTACAAGCATGGCTGAGAAGAGGCCTCCCAATTGAAGAACTGTATCCTGAGTGTCCATCGTCAATTTATCCTGGAACTTGCCTAATAAAGCCCACAATCACGAGTACTGCCTGTAAGTTCTGTGTGGCCATTGTAATCACAACAGAATCTAGCAGAGAAGTAGTGAGAGGCTTGGGAGGGACAGTTGGTGCTGGGATTGGTGGAGGAAGGTGTAGAGTAATTGTCTCTGTGTGTTGATGTTGCTGATGCGGATTCTGCCCCTTGTGAAGGTAGTGAAGGTCAGACGCTGCTGCCTCCAAGCCGGCCTCACTACTGTTTTTCCACCTCCCTATTCTTTCTATGAGGGAGCTCTGGTGGCCTAGTGGTAAGAAGCTGCGCTGCAATCCCAAAGGCACACAGTTCCAATCTGCTCTGAGGGAGAAGGACTGGTAATCTCCTGTGTGATTAACTGCCTCCAAAAACCCACTGGAAGGTCAGCTATGGGTCAGTTCCGACTTGACGGCACACAACAACAACAACATTCTTTCTACGGGAGTTCTGATGGCTTAGCGGTAAGGAATTACATTGTCAGTGCAGATATGCATGGTTTAAACCCAGCCCTAGCTGCTTTTTGGGAGAAAGATGAGCAATCCAACCAACTCTCCCCATGTGTTTGGGGAGCATTCTGCCCCTGTACTTCCAGTTCAGGTCCCAGGTAGAGATCATATAAGTCAAAAAGGGGTTTCTGGGAGTTACCTCAATCTCACTGTCCCCAGCAGGGGAGGGGTCGCTGCTCCGTTTGGACCGGCCCCGGAGCTTCCCGTCGGAGGCCCGGTGGGGCCTGTCTGCGTCTCCCTCTTTGGCTGGCGTGGGTGGTCCATTATGCGTGTTATATTCACCTGGTGCAGGACAAGGAGGGTAGACATATCAGAAGCTGTGCTGGTTGCCTCCTCCCAGGAAATAGAATGCCAGCACCCTCTCATTCCAGGGTGGTCTTGTCTATCACCCTGGACTCAACGTCAGCTCATGGCAACCCCAGAGGTGCAGAGTGGGACGGGCCCATAGGGTTTGCATTTCCAGGTTGGGACCTTTGAAGGCAGACTGACAGGCTTTTCATCCAAGCCACCTGCAGGTGTGTTTGAACCATCAACCCTTTGGTTAGTAGTCAAGCCCTTAACCATTGACACTTTCCAGGGACTCCAAAATAGTATGTCCCAAAGGCAGCTCTTAAGGCACAAAGCTAGCCCCTTGAATGTCCCTTAAATTTCTCATTCATAATCATTTATCCATCATTGGATAATTGATGGTATTTAATGAATATTAACTTATATTAAATATATTTAATGAATAGGTGTTGCTCCAGAAACTGGGAATATGTGCTGGTCCCTGATAAAAGGAGAAACATTAGATAAATAAACAAGAAAGTTCACGCATCCAGTGGAAATACTGTGGCTCAGTCCCAGAACACCGCAATAAGTCAGATACCACAACGTGAGCCACAACAGTTTCAGTGTCCCAATGCTTACACAGGAACTCCGGTGGCTCAGTGTTAAGGAATTGTACTGCCAAGGCAGAGGTACGTGGTTTGAATTCACCAGCTGCTCTGTGGAAGAAAGATGGGCAGTCTCCTCCTGTGTGACTTAACTGCCTCTGAAAACCTGCTTGAGGGCCAGTTCCAACTTTATAGTACACAACAACAACAACAACAACAAGATGAGTGCTTATAAAAATTATGTTTACACTAGACAGTAGTTTCACGAAACTCTGGTAGTAGACCCTAGTGTTTACTTGTTTTGTGTTGTGCCAAAAAACCAAGAAACTCCATTTGTTCAAATCCACCAGCAGCTGCAAGGGATGAAGATGGCCAGTGTTCTCCCATTAAAATTCCATTACAATCTGTAGCCTTGGAAACCTGATGGACAGTGATTCGAGTGCAGTGAGTGAATGAGTAGTTCACACTACAGACGAATGCACACTGTAACGTGTGCAGTGTCACTCTGAACAAGTTTGACATGTTGGAAGAATTGCAGAAACAGGTCACAGACACACAAAGAAAACAGGGAATGCTGGGAAAATGGCACCCAAAGACTGCTCCACGGAGGGCTGCTGAAGACCTTCAATTTGTAAAAAAACAAAAAAAAAAAAAACACATCACGAGGCTCAGTAAGACCAAGCATGCCAGGGGGTGATCTTGTCAGGTGGGGCCATGGGGCCATGTGTTACAGGGAACAAGTAAGTCCGAATGAAGGGAACCGGGGGTGCAGGGTTGGTAACTAACAAGAGGTGGTCAAGAAAAAACCTGCGGGTAAGGGAACACTGGAGTAGTGATCTGGAATATTCTACAAGTCAAGAACGCTGAACAACACCACAAAACACAACAGCTGACAGTATGCCTTGTTCCCCCGAGTCATCAGATAAGAGCACAGATCTGCTGACATCTTGATTTCAGATTTCAAACCCTTCCGAACCATGAATAATAGATTTATGATTTTGGTAAGCCACTCGCCACTCAACTTGCAATGCTTTGCTACAGTAGCCCCAGGAGACGACTACACCCAGTAGAGTTAAATGGAGGAGCCCTGGAAAAGCATGGTAGCCTTGGTAGTGCAATGGTGTGTTCACCCACTGCTAACTGGAAGGTCAGTAGTTCAAATCTACCTGCAGTAAAAAGATGGGACAGTCTGCTTCCATAAAAATCTAACACTCTGGAAACCACAGGACTTCTTTACTATCCGCTAGGGCAACAGTGAATCAGAATCTGCTCGATGACAATGAATTTTTTTTTAAATTGAGTATTTAAAAAATGTAATTGGGATGAAAATGTACACAGTATATTGCTTTCCCAAACAATCATTCATATACATTTTATTCCATAACATTAATTACCATACCCAGTGCCCATCTTTTTCATATTGTTTTTCTTCTTACCAATACTAATAATAATACTAATAATTACTTATTATCTATTAATTAATTTCCTATTCCTTCCCTCCTCCTCCCCAGTAACCATTCTAGTATGATTCTCTTTCTGTGTAAACTTTTTTTTTTAGGTTTCTAGGTTTTTATAATGTTGTTGTTATGTGCCATCAAGTGACCTGCAGCTCACAGCAACCCGAGGTACTCTGAAACTTGCCTTATCTTGAGCCAATCTCACCATCTCTGACAGACCTAATTCCACTGCTCCAGTCACTGAGTCAATCCATCTCATCCTGGGTCTTCCTCTCCTGCCCTGTCTCTCCACCCGTCCAAGCGTGATGTCCCTCTGAAAGGCCTGGTCTTTCTGGGCCACATGCCCAAAGTGGTCTTATATTTATCCTTTCATGATGGACTCATTTCACTCAGCATGATGTCCTTTCATTTCATCCATGCTACAGAACTGTGCATGAATTTGTCGTTGTTTTTCAGTGTTGCATAGTACTCCACTGCCGGAACGCACTATAATTTCTCTCCATTTATTCACTGATGAGCACTTGGGTTGTTCCCAACTCCTGCCGTTGTGAATAACGCTGTAGGAAACATGGCATCCCAGCTCTCATTTCTTTAGAACATATACAACGTGATGGGATAGATGGGCCAAATGGCAGCTCTATTCAACTCTTTATGAAAAGACGGTACAACAGTCAAGCACTCAGCTGCTATCCTCAAACTCTGGCAGTTGGAACATGCCCAGCCACTGTGTGGGTGAAAGACCTGGTGATGTGCTTCCAGCAAGAGTAAACCAACCAGTCTAACGAATGGATAAACTGAGGCTCAGCGAGGAAAATGCAATTTGCCATTGCCAGCTACCATCAGGTCAATTCTGACTAGTAAGGAACCCATGAGTTTCACAGTAGAACTAACTGCTCCTTAGGATTCCACGACCTCTGAATTTGGGGAGATCGATCACCAGGCCTTTCTTCCAAGATACTCCTGGGTGGATCTGAACCTCCAGCCTTTTAGTTAGCACTCAGGAGAGGTAACTGTTTACATGACCCCAGGACACTTGTCTATTATAAACTCGTACATTAGGCAGGCAGAGCCAGGGCTAAAATTTGTGCCTGTCCTCCCATCACCATAGAGTGACAGTATTATAAACCAGCGTGGAGTCTTAGAGAACATTCCACTCCACATTCTAATCCCACAGCTGCCTGTTTCAGCTCTCAAATGTATCCTATTGCTTCCTCTCTCCTTCGCCCTCTCCATAATCACCAGTCTTGGATCACAAGGGGAAATGGCTTTGTCTAAACGTACTTGGCAATGGATTGATTTTCTTCCCCCATCCTGGAAGGACTATTTCCCTCCAAATCCCCAGGGACTGGGCTTGTTTATTTAATGTTTATAAAACCTCTTAGCAGACGAAGGACATAAAAAAAGACGTGATGTTGAGTTGTCAGGCCTGCTGGATTTTGCCAACCCCACAGAATTTTGAGGGAACAGCATTTGGGATTCCCAAACATTGAAGCAGCAAAGACTTTCTTGCAGATGGTGAGAACTGGGAAGTGAGCAAATTCAGATGGTTCTGGGCAAAGCAAGCAGTGTCTACCACACTTTAGTTTAAGGCTTTAGATAAGAGCTCTTGAGTCCATTATAAAGGGTTTCTGAGGCAGTGACCTTTTTGAGAGGAGGCCCGGTGGGGCAGTAGTTAAAATGTTGGCTGCTAATCAAAAGGTCACCAGCAGCTCCATGGGAGAAAGGATGTGGCAGTCCTTCTTTCACAAAGATTATGGCCTTGGGAGCCCTGTAGGGGAGTCCTATTCTGTCCTCTAGGGTCACTAAGTTGTTGTTAGGTGCCGTTGAATTGAATACGACTCTCAGCAATCATACAGCAGCCAGGAAATTAAAAGACAAATTGCACTGAGAAAAAGTCCGTGGTTAGAGACCTCTCCAAAGTACTGAAGAGCAACGATGTTAGTCTGGAGACTAAGGTGTGCCTGATCCAGGCCACAGTCTTTGCAATTACTTGCTATGCATCAGAAAGCTGGACAATGACTAGGGATGACAGAAGGTGAATTGATGCCTTTGAGCTGTGGTGCTGGAGAAAAGTACTGAATATACCATGGGCTGATTGCTAGGAGAACAAACAGGTTCATCCTAGAGAGGGTGAGACCACCCTGATCCTTGGAGGCAAGGACTCTGAAGCTTCATTTGACTTACTCTGGACATGTTGCAAGGAGGGTCTGTCTAGTCCTTGGAGAGGGATGTCATGCTTGGGAGGGTGGAGGGACCGCGCAAGAGAGGAAGACCCTTGATGAGATAAATTGATTCAGTCACTGCGGTAATGGGGATAGGTATGTCAGAGACAATAAGGTCGGCATAGGATAAAGTAGGGTTTAGGGCTGTTGTACATAGGGTTGCTATGAGTTGCAGGTGACTCAACGGCACATAACATAGCAACCTTATGAATAATAGATCTGAACTATGTCCTATCCTGTGCCAAGTTCACAGTCTCTGACACACTGAGCCCACTGCTGCAGTTACTGTGTCTATCTACCTGGTTGAGGGTCTTTTTCTTCTTTGCCGACCCCTTACCTTTTCAAGCATGATGTCCCTCTCCTGGGAAGAGCCTTGCCTAGCAACATGCCCAAAGTATGTGAAACAAAGGCTCGCTGTTCTTGCCTGTAGGGAGCACTCTGGCTGCACCCTCTCCAAGACATAGATCTGTCTGTTCTTTTGGCTGTCCATAGGATACTCAGTACTCTTCTCCAAAAGTAAGAGTTGAAATAAAACTGATTGCAACCGGTATAGCTTCGTTTTTAATCTCTAGGGGAGCAGATTATCAGGTATTTTCTCCCAAAGAGCCAAGAGATGAGTCTGTCACCCCTCTGGCCTGCAGCCGGGTGCATAACCAGTGCGCCATGACGGCTCCTTAGCCCTCAGAGTCTTAAGGCTTTGAAAACATTTGATGCTGCCATTAAAATCA